GCTCGTGCGACGGGCCTTTAAAAACAACAACAACAACAACAACAACAACAACAACAACAACAACAACACCACCACCACCACCACCACCACCAGCAGCAGCAGCAGCAGCAGCAGCAGCAGCAGCAGCAGCAGCAGCAGAGCAGCAACAACAACAACAACAACAACAACGAAAAAGACAAAGACGACAACAACAACAACAACAACAAAGACAACGACAACGAAACAACAAAGACGACAACAACAACAACAAAGACAAAGCTGCTGCAAAAAGACACGCCACTGTGCCACTGAGCAAAAAACAGAAAGAGACTGAGAGACAGACAACGAAAAAACTAAAAAGCAAACGCCAAACGATCGAGTGATCACCAAAAGCATGAACGAGACACCACCAACACAAGATCAACAAAAGCAATACATGACAACAAACACTGAGACATCACCCGCAAGCATGACCAAGATATAACCAAGACACTACGAGACACCATCCTTCCGTGTCTTTGTTTATCCTTTTGATCTCAACATCCACTTCTGGCAATGTGTCCGGTGTGAAATGTAGCAGTCATGTGAGGACATCCATGTGCGACACAATAGATGTGGCATGTGCATACCGATCGAGGCCGTACGGCACATGAGAAAAAGGTGCGAAGTAGCCCTGGTAGCGGAGCCCGGTCGTTGCCGCTCGTGCCCGTCGTCGATGCACGAGGGGTAGCGGCTGGGCTCCAATCCATGGCGCAAGATGGTTCAGGAGGTGCAAGCACCAGACTGGAGCGTTTTGATGGTTCTGATCCGAGCCTCTACAAGAGGTGGCGACGTCGTGCGGCGCTGATGATCATCAGCCTGCCAAATACATATCCTGCTGAGAAATATGGCCCGAAATTGGTCGAGTTCTTGTCAGGAGAGGCCGAGCTGGCGGTGGAACATATTCCCATCGAAGACTTGGCCAAGAGTGGAGGCGAGCGTCTGGTGTTCAAAGCATTGGATGAGCGCTATAGGCTATAGGCTATAAGCCTTTAGAGAAGGACGACATGAATGAAGCCCTCAAGGAATTTTTCTTTGAAACGGCCATTCGGTCGGGAGAGACGATGAAGGCATTCATCACCCGCTTCATTACGGTGGAGCGCAAACTACGTGAGCAGGGAGTTGAGCTTCCGTCTGAGGTCAAGGGTTGGTTCATGCTTCGAAAGCTTCACCTCGACCACAACCGACCAGGAGGCTATGATTTTGACAGCGACTCGTGGTTCTTTCAAGGTGGAGGAGGTGTCACAAGCTGTGAAGGCCATTCCGGCCAACTCCAAAGGAAACAACAAGCCCGTGCAGAAGGACACCTTTGTGGCCGACGAGGACACGAGCGAGCTGACATCAAGCTCATGGGATGAGGACCAGGAGGTTCTCCAGGTTCTTGCAGTGGAGATGCAAGAGCAAGAAGATTACGATGAAGAGGCCATTCTGGACACTTTTGAGAGTTGCAAGCAGGTGAGAACCACGATGCAGGAAGTTCGGAAGGCCCGGGGCTTTCGTCCTGAGACGTCGACGTCAAACTCAAGCCAACCATGGAAGCTACAGGGAACCATCTCTGCAAAGCTTCAACAAGTGAAGTCTCGAACGCGCTGCCATCGCTGTGGACAACTCGGTCACTGGCGAAGAGAATGCCCGTCACGAAGTGCAGGTAAGGGCGGCAATCGAGGATCCTCCTCATCTGGTGCAAGTCAGAGCACGTCGAAAAGAGGTGCACATCGTGGAACATGACTGGCCTGAACAGGAGGATTACGACGTGTTGCTGAATCAGGCAGCTGACGAGATTGAGCTTGGATTGAACGCCTTCATGATCCAGGGTAGCAGAGAGAGGGTGACTTCGCCGCGCTTCGTCAGACTTGACCCGTGGAGCGGCCCTGTGCATTCGGTTCCGACAGAACAGAGCAGTACGGCCTTGAGCCAAAAGTACAGAGTTTGTAGATCATGTACAGATTCATGAGATTTTCCAGCTTGAGCAGGCAGACTCCTCGTTGAGAACGGAATACACGCCTGCGGCCCTTCAGACTCATGGGGTACCAGACACCGCTTGCCGTAGATCCCTAGTTGGGGAACATGTTCTTCAACGAGTTGAAGAACATTGGAAGGGACATGGTAGGACGGTGCAGCGTCGGGAAGCAACGGCCACTTTTCGATTTGGGAATAACGGTAGTTTGCAGGCTAGGGAGGTTGCTGTGATTCCGTGTCAGATCTCGGGTAGGCATGTTTTGATTCAGGTGGCAGTGCTTCCAGGCAGTGGTGCAGAAACTCCCCTGTTGCTGTCCAAGGAACTTTTGAAGGATTTAGGAGCGACACTGGACTTCGTGAATGACACCATGAGTTTCGCACGCCTCGGAGGACAACCAGTTCGGTTAGGAACTACTAGTAAGGGGCACTATGCTTTACCTCTTTTTGAGTTTTCACACACACAATGCACAACACAGTCACGTTTCTGATCAAGAGGCAGGTGCAGCGATCAACGAGAAAGATTGCCATGTCATACACCGGCAGCCCCGATCGACTGAGCCCAGACAGTCAGCAGTGGCTCAACACGTTGAACCTGGGACATGTGCTCCCCATGAATCAGCATGTGGACCAACAGTACGATTCGGAGGACGACTCACCACGTCGTCCCCAGATCCCAGGAGACACAGTCATGATGGAGGGAAGTTCAAGACCAAGCCTCGTGCACCAGCGAACACCTTCCGCTACATCTACACGTGTCAAAAGAACTACACGGGGTGGGTACGATCTCACATCGGAGAGGGCAGCTCAGCACATCTCAGGACCTTCAAGGCCTATGTCGAGATGCGGGATGCCAAGATGATGACACGATTGAACGAGGTGGCACATCAGAACGGTCGCAACATGAATTTCCACTCGTCGGGCATTGTGCAAGGAGCCAGACCACAGGGAGGAGCGAGTGCGGAGTACACGGTACAGCAGATGGTCGTACCGCCACTCCCCATTCGCAGCCCTCCTCCGCAGACTCCATCGCAGAGGAGTGTGCAGAGCTGGCAGGTAGTGAGTGCGGCACCATGCAGCACCTATGCTCCACCAAGTCCAAGCCCGAAGATGACAGCAGGAAGCATGGGACGTCGTCGACGCATGAGGGACGACGACATGGAAGTGGACGCCAACCGAGCCAAGAAGATTCAGGACACCTGGACAGTGTGGACTATGGAGCTGATGAACAAGAACGAGGAAGCTCGAGAGCATGTGGAAAAGGAGACCATGTGGTTGCAGAACAGTGCAGGAGGACCACAGAAGGTTGCTCGCATGTTCTCTCGCCTTGCCGTGCAGGGGACCAATCTGCAGCTCCAGGAGGAAGATCAGTAAAAGTGGCAGAGCCATCAGATGGGTCAGTGGGCACAGATGAATCAGATGATTCACGGTCCAGAGAGGCCGAAGTCACAGACCTGTCAGAACAGAATATGAACCGGAAGACACGCCGGAAGTTGCGTAGGATCGTGGAAGCACTTGAAGACTTCGATTGCTACGCATCATGGCAAAAGAGCGAGCAGACAGCACGGTGGGATGGAGTGGATATTTGTGAGGTTTTCTCAATCCCCCGAGTTTCTCAGATGGGATATTTGCACGGACTCCACGCCGGACCTTGTTATGATTTACAGTTGGGTGATGATTTGTTGGTGCCGGAACATCGCAATCGTGTGTTCCGTGAAATCAGTGAGACCAAGCCCTTTTTGTGTGTGGTTTGTTCCCCCTTGCACCTATTTTTCTACCATCCGGCGTCCGTGTGAGGATCCCTCGAAAGAGAAAGAAGAACGAAGGAAGGCCATGACCCTGCTCCTGTTTGGGGTGGAGGTGTGTCGGTTGCAGCTGAAGAACAGGATATTTTTCCTGTTTGAGCACCCAGAGCATGCTAGGTCATGGAATTGTGATCCTTTGAGGGGTCTTCGTACCGATTCGAGGGTTTTCGAGACGCTCTTGGACATGTGCATGTTCGGCATGTGTGACGTGCAATCAGGGTTAGCTATTAAGAAGGGCACTCGACTAATCGGTAACATGGATGAAAACATCATGAGGCTTTTGAACAAACGCTGCGACAAACGACATGAACATCAGGTTTGCGAGGGACAAGTGAAACATGACGGACACTGGGTGAACCGGACTCGACTGGCGCAGGAGTATCCGACTAGTTTTTGTAACACCGTGTGCGAGTGCATCGAGCTCCAGAAACGACGGACTCAGGGACACTCCGACGAGAGTGATGTGTTGGCCGTCGATGCGGTGAAGGGAACTCATGAGGGGGAAACTCATGTCTGAGAGAGAGTGTTCGGAGGGCGCATCAGAATCTCGGTCACCCTAGCAGTGAGCGTTTTTGTATGATGTTGAAACAGGCGGGCGCGTCCGAATCGGCGTTGCGTTACGCCAAGGAATATAAGTGTCCGATTTGTGAATCCCATCAAGGTCTCAAGGCCCCCAAGGTGAGCAAGGTCCGTAGGACGTATGAGTTTAATGCTGGAGTCTGTTGCGACACCTTTGAAGTGGAAACCATGGGAAAGAAGATTCCCTTCCTTTCGATCATTTGCGAGAGCACCGCTTTCCATCTCGTGATTCCTTTGTGGGCAGGACGAAACGCCGAAGAAACCAGAAAGGCGTACCGAAGGTACTGGAAGAACGTTTTTGGAGGCCCCAAACGACTGTTTGCTGACAACGGGTCGGAGTTCGCCGGCTGCTTCCAAGACGGGCTGTGGCATGACGGGACTGCGGACGAACGTAGTGCTGGATATTCACCATGGCAGAACGGGTTTTGTGAACAACATGGCGGAACTTGGAAGAATATGTTCATGAAGGTTGCTTCGGTTTTTCCCCCAGGTGATAGGGAACAGGTTGAGGAGATTGTTCAACAAGTCACGAATGCGAAGAATGCTTTGCTTAATCAGGACGGTCATTCTCCCCATCAACGTGTTTTTGGACAGCAGGCTAGGTTCCTGGAATGGTCTACGGGGGTGAAGAGTCCATGCATGTGGGGGTGAACAGCGGCTATTTGGCGGGGGACACGTCCTATGTTCGATCCGTGCGGATGCGACAAGAAGCACGGAAAGCTTTCATCGATGCCGATAATGAGGATCGGGTTCGACGAGCCGTGGAACGACGCACTCGGCCGGAGAGAGGTCCTTTTCATCCTGGTTGTAAGGTGTATGTTTGGAGGCCCGGTAAACGGTCAGGTGAAGGCGAACCGATTCCGTGGTTTTGGCGGGGACCCGGTACGGTGATTGGTTCATGTGGACACGATAAAATTTGGGTTTCGTCTGGTACGAAGGTTCTGAAATGTGCTCCTGAACAGTTGAGACGACTTCGCTATGAAGACGAAGCCACTCTCAGGCTCATCCCCCAGGAGCTGATAGACTGGTCCCATGTCGTGTCCAAGAAGGGTGTAGCCACCTTTCACGACATCTCTGCAGAACAGAAGCCACCAACCGAGGAAGCTGAGAGTGGGCAAGACTACTGGGAACTCAACGGGATCCAAGAACTCATTTGTATGTTCCTACGGCTGCAGACCAACCACCCGTTGAGATCGATCGCATCAACAGTGGACGAAAAACAATGATCAACTTTCAGGGGTCAACGGCAGTTAGAAGAGAACTGTTTGATGACTGGAGACAAGTTGGCATTGGAGAACAGCAGAGTGAATGGACAGGCTGCACAGTGTTCACAGTGAAAAGAGCACGGGAGGAAACGATTGAGAACACTGAAGACCTTTCAAACGAGGACTACACAGCTCCAACACCCCAACCAATGCAGGTAGAGGATGACCTACCCACTGATGTTCCATCAAGTTTAGAGTACACACCTGCAGAGGCACCTCAAGAGGAGGACACAGAGACACAGCCATTACCAGAGCCAGCAGTTCCAGTGGCAGCGGCTCCAACGGAGGTTTCATCAACATATGGACCTATCCGGGAGACACCTCTTACAAGAGCAATGCGACAAGATCTTAGTCGGCTGGACACTGGTCGCAGGACAGACAGGCAGATGAACGAAGTGCTTCAAACAGAAGTGGAACTAGGTGACTGGACAGACCATACAAAACAATGGCGGATCTCATGGGAAGAAAAAGTTCTCATCCGACTTCATGCTCATCAAAAGGGTCCATACCGACCATGCGAGAAGTCATGTCCCATCCCACTCCAGTGGCTGACAGGGTGTAGACACTCCTTGATTCGACAAGATGGAGTGGATGGTTACATGGTGATCACAGACGAAGACTACAGGGGACGGACAGAACATCATCCGGAGTTGAGGAGTTGGACTGGGTATTCAGTCTTTGAGATTGAATTGCCGGACCTGGACCTGACAATTCCAGAAGAAGAACATGAGACCTATGAAGTCACTATGTGGGAAGGACTCCAGAAACACAAAGAGATAGCATTAGAAGAAAGCAAAAGAACAGAAGTGGAGAAGCTGCTCAAGTACAAGGCGCTGAAGGTGATACCACCTCATGAAGCTCGACTCATTCGACAAAAGCTGGGACATCGAATACTACCATCTCGATTCGTGATCACTGAGAAACCAGACGAAAAAGAACCTGGAAAGTTCAAAAAGAAAGCAAGATGGTGTATTCGCGGATATTTAGATCCGGACCTGCACAAAATCGAGAAACAGGCACCTACGTTGACAAATGAGGCATTGAGTTTGGTCCTACAAGTGAGTGCTTCAATGGACTGGACATTGAACATTGGAAACGTGGAAGGCGCCTTCCTACAGGGTGACCAACTATGTCGCAAAGAAGGAGCACTCTACATTGAACCTCCACCCGGAGGTATGCCTGGAATAGCGGAAGGAAGCTTGTTACTAGCAGAGAAAGCAATATATGGACTTGCAGACGCACCGAAGGCTTGGCACCATACATTGACCAACAGTTTATTGGCAACAGGTCTGGTGCAGTCATGTTTGGACCCATGTCTTTTTCATTATTGGCACAACAAGCAATACATAGCAATACCAGGGTTCGTTGGCAGTTCATGTTGATGATCTCATTTGCACAGGTACAACATTGTTCAAAGAGCACATCACAGACAAACTCAGAAGCAGGTACCCTTTCAAACATTGGAAGACAGACGGAGGTGAGTTTCTTGGTCGAGTGATACATCGCTCGCCGGACGGCTTCACTATCGAACAGACAGAGTACGCAGAGAAGCTCAACACCATCAAGATCACAAGGGAAAGACGACGGGACAAGGGTCAACCCCTCACAGATCGGGAAAAGAGTCAACTACGTGGAGTAGCAGGGGGACTCAATTGGTTGTCAACAGCTACACGACCTGATTTAGCAGCCATGACAGCCAAGGTACAACAGAACATTCAAAATGGTACAGTCGAACAGATTGCAGAAGCAAACAAAGCAGTGGCAGAGGCGCGAGACTTCAAGCATGTAGCAATCAAGGTGGTACCAATACCACTCAACGAACTTGCAATTTTGATGACAGCAGATGCATCATGGGCTACAGAGTCAGACTTGAAGAGTCAAGCTGCATACATGGTTTGCGCAACCACCAAGGCCATGCACAGTGGCAAAATCACCCCAGTGACACCGCTAAAGTGGAAAAGTCAGAAGCAGGACAGAGCCGTAAGTAGCACCTTAGCTGCTGAACTCTATACTGTTTCAAAGGGTGTGGCCGAAGCTGTATGGATGAAACAATTTTTCTTGGAGGTTTTGAATTCGGAATATGATTTGGACAATCAAGAAGAGTTGACACATGATATCGACATCATTGCATGTACAGACAACAAGCCACTATTTGACCATGTCAGGAACGACACCGGCATGGTTCATGACAAGCGGCAAGCTATAGAAGTCTTGCTACTACGTCGGGACATCAAAATGCACCGAGTACACATTAGGTGGATAGATACCAAACAAATGCCAGTGGACTGCATGACAAAATTGTCTGTTCGGCCTACATTGTCTCGACATGTACTACAGCAAAGTACGTATGCGATCATGGAAGAGCAAGAAATGTTGAATGCCAAGCGTGCACAAAGACAATACAAGCAGTCGCACATGCAACAGTCCGGGGTGTGTGAAATGTAGCAGTCATGTGAGGACATCCATGTGCGACACAATAGATGTGGCATGTGCATACCGATCGAGGCCGTACGGCACAGGAGAAAAAGGTGCGAAGTAGCCCTGTGGATTCTCACATCCGGTCAATGTGTGTGGCTTGCAGCCATCGGAAGTGGTTCTTTCCTCGCTTGTCACTGGCGAAGGCAGCTTCAACGACTTTTGTTGAGCATATTGAGGTTTACACAGGTTTCGAAGTAACTTATTGTCATGATCTTGCGTCTAGTGATGTTGGACCAATCACATCTTCTAATTCTAATCAAAACTGTTTGTTCATGTGCCTCTTCGCGAGACTCTCCGGTCGCTACACCGTTACATTGCCCAAGTCGCACAAAAACTCTGCCACTCCGAGTGAGGATGTTCCTCCTCTTTCTTGTGGCATCCAATGAATCTGGTCTGTGCTGTTCTATCCATTACAGGCAATTGTGGGCAGGCATGCATTGCCGCAAATTACCGCCTTGCATTCTGTTTGCATGCATATTCTTTTGCGGATAGAAAAGGAGTGGTGGGTCTGCTGCCCGGCTTGAGACACAAACAAGTTTCAGGTTTTCACTAGGGCCTGCACTGTGAAATAGTTATTATGTAAGAATAAGTAGCATTGTCTTTGGACTCTGTTAACCTCGACTCTGCTTTCCCCTTCCTGTGTTGTCCATGTTCTTCCTGCCTTCCTGATGGTTGCAAAGGCTGGTTTGGCTGACCACAAGTGCTGCGATATGTTCAGTACCAGTGCAATGCCGGTCTCCTAGCGTATTAGTCTACATTTCCTACATTGTCAATAGCACTCTGCAACGAGCGTCACGTCTACTGTCAACACATTAATTACTTGCGTTCAGTACCAAAAAGATCTATTATCTCATGACCATCACCCTCTAGATGTCCATGCCGTTTGAAATGGAACACACAATTTGGACTCCACAGTGTAATGTCAACGTGCAGTGCTGAAACGTTGTTAACGCATGTTAACGCCACTGCTATATAATTGATAATGCCGTGTAGGCATTCTCCAGCACCAGGTTAAATTGGGCCTGCTGGCAGGTATTGTGGACATATCTCAACGAACCATCGCAGCGACAGGGAGCTACCAAAGGGTCATCTCGATGGTCCTGCACGGCAGCACTTTGACCATTCCATTTTGCAGCATGCAGAATCGTGCTGCCTTGGAGCAAAGCATACACGTCTGAGTAAGGGTGCCTTGTCAATTCTTTTGAAATACAACACAGCCGCAGTGTATGCACTTCCTGTTGTTCTGAAATTGATGCCAGTACTTGCCACCCCGACTTGCTCAGTCCTCCAAGCTATGGCAAATCCGGCAGGCTGACTTGATGACCTGTTCAGGTTGCTTACAAAACTGCACTGACTAAAACCGAGTTGTCAAACTCTGGCAGAATGTATCCAGGTATCGAAGTAGTATTTTTTTTGCACGAGCGACAACGTGACAAGCAGCATTCAAATCGGCTCATAGACCTGCTGCCGGGGCCGCCGGCCTCAAAGTGATCCTTCTCCGAGCGGAAGGGCCAAACAGCCTGAAACTGGCAGCGCAGCCGCAGAATATTACATTAGCTCTTTTTGTCTGTCTACGGCCTAGAATAGACGTTAGGATCTGGAGATCTGGAGTGGTGTTGATGGGCCACTACGGAGTCACTGACATTCCTTGCCACCAAGCACATCCTGCCTGGCCGCTGCAAGCTGTGAGTCGCACAAGGCGGCAACGTCGAACGCCTGACATGACCTGCAATATGTGGGTATCTTCAAGATACAATTGAATTCTAGGAACAAGGACGCTACTAGGGGCTCCTGGTATCGCTACTAGGAGCAAGAAGCTACTAGGAGCTCCTGGCCGTACTACTAGGAGCAAGGATGCTACTAGTGCTAGCTGCCAATATCTAAAAAACGATGCAATGTTTGTGTAAAGAGTGCGCCTGACGGGTAGTTCAGGCTGGCCTTGCTACTAACTAGAACTAGCTAACAGAATACAACGAATATTATTGGCGGCTTGTAGATGAAGTAAGAATGATATATTATACAAGCAGTTCCCGGGCAAGCCGGCGGCGGAAGTTTCCTATAAGAAAAAATTGACCTATAGGAGTGTCCACGTTCTGTCCAACATGCGCGTCCTCCAGTCAAACGCACGCGCTCCGGACTTCTGACCCACGGGATTCCACGTGTGTAAGGTGTGTGTGCCCCCTGCGAGAGATGACACACATCCGGCCACCACGACTTGCCAAGGATGCGGTCCACATCGACACACATCCCACCGTGGCATTCTTCAGTGGCGGCAAACCTTGCATATCACACATCGGACTGAATGGAATCCGAATTTGAATGTAAAATCTGTCTTGAACCCTGAGACTATGTATGATGAGTCTTGTATGATGAGGGGTGTATGACAAGTGATGAATGATGAGTGGTGTATGTTGAGTGGTGTATGATGAGTGGTGTATGACGAGTGGTGTATGATGAGTGGTGTATGCTGACTGGTGTATGATGAGTGGTGTCTTGACCAGCAGTTGAATGTCCTGTCCTGCATAACTGCAACCAAATACTATCAGTATGAACTGAACGCGCACGCTGCGAGAGATGACTCAGCAGCGAGAGATGACTCAGTCGCGAGAGATGACTCAGCCGCGAGAGATGGCTATAGCAAGAGCTGACTCAACAGCGAGAGATGAATGAGCAGCGAGAGATGACTCCTCCGCGTACTACACTGTTCGCCAGTACAACTCTAGTTGTACTACGAAGTCGCCAGTCCTCAGCTTCTAGCTGCGCAGATTGCTCCGCGTGCTGAAGTTGTACTACAAAGTCGCCAGTTCTCATCGTCCAGCTTGCCAGATACTCCGCGTGCTAAAGTTGTACTACAAAGTCGCCAGTTCTCAGCTTCCAGCTCTACAGATTGCTCCGCGTACTAAAGTTGTACTAGAAAGTCGCCAGTTCTCACCATCCAGCTCCACAGATACTCCGCGTACTAAAGTTGTACTACAAAGTCGCCAGTTCTCATCGTCCAGCTTGCCAGATACCCCGCGTACTAAAGTTGTACTACAATGTCGCCAGTTCTCAGCATCCAGCTCTACAGATTGCTCCGCGTACTAAAGTTGTGCTAGAAAGTCGCCAGTTCTCAGCTTCCAGCTCTACAGATTGCTCCGCGTACTAGGAGTTGTACTAGAAAGTCGCCAGTTCTCAGCTTCCAGCTCTACAGATTGCTCCGCGTACTAAAGTTGTACTAGAAAGTCGCCAGTTCT